AATAGGAGGCAAAAGGTAAAGAGATATGATAATACATGTAAATGCTGGGCTTGTGGGTTCTACGGGCACACGCGTCAATTTTGCAAATATAAGAAAGAATTCAAAGCAGCAGCAGTATGTGACACATCAGACTCCGAGTCAGGAAGTGAAATATCAGAAACAAATGCAGCAGTGCTACTAGAAGAAGACAAATGCACAATATGTGAGACGTTTCAAGAATATGGAGACTTGCCATGTGGGCATAAGATAACGGTGCATAATGCTAATTCAGTGAAGGATTGTGGAAAATTAAACCTACATAAAGGGATTGTTGTTAACCGAATCGTCTCAATTTTAAGAGACACAGGAGCGACGATCTCAGGTATTCACAAGTCATTAGTGAAACCAGAAGACATGACTGATAGAGTTGTTAGATGTAGAACATTTGGAGGTAGAAGAGAAAAATTTAGAATAGCATCAGTATGGGTGAAAACGCCATATACCACTAAGAAGATGGACATGGCTGTATTAAGTTCACCGTGTGCAGAACTTATCATTGGTAACCAACCAGGGCTGAAGGAGATGACAGATTATGAAATAAATCAGTGGTAGAAAGAAAACATACCTGAGATGACAGAAGAGTTGATGCTATCCACGGAGAGACAAGAGACAAATGCAGTGAGGAAAGTTAAAAGTGAGAGTTTAAATCAGGATGAAATAGAAAAGGTCGCAGCAGTCACAAAAAGTGCAACAAAAAAGCAACGATTGCAAGAGCGCTCAGTAAGCATGCACAAAGAACAAATACTAGTAACTGCAGGAGATGAAAACACAAAGAGATTTTTCCAAGAGCAGACAAATAAGGTAACACTAAAACAATGTTTGGATACAGCTGATCTACCAACACATAAATGTACAATAGATAAAACTAGTCTATCAACAAACTATAAAGAACAATTAAAGTTAATAATGCAGTTGCTAGTAACTTTAATTTTGGCGGTACTAATGTTAAGTGTTAGTTGGTGTGTTAAATGTGTTAGGAATGTTACAACATTAAATTATCAGTTATTCGCAATACAATTGAACAGGCAGCCAACGAAATTAAACTGCTACCAGGGAAAAACGATAAAATATAAGTTTCGAGCAAGAGGCATTAACTATTGTGATCAGTTAAAAAAAAAAAATCCTAATCGGGAAAGAATTTACGATTATTACAGGTAACCTTGCACTGGTAAAAGTGCAGAACATAAATGCTAATAAAAACGCTAGAGTTTACCGTTGGGCATTATTGTTAATACAAAAGTTCAAATTTGACATTATGCATGTTAAAGGGGTAGATAACCGTATTCCAGACATTATGTCCAGGTTATAAAGAAAGTAAGCAGAAATACTGAAAAGGGTAAATAAATAGAAAAGGGAGATAATTATAGGTTACAGACTAACATTACTAACAGATGTTCAATAAACGTGTTGTTACTAACAATTTAATATTCAATTAAAATAAATGTTGTATGATGTGATGATATGAAAGTTATAATGTAAAAGTGATAATGAGAAATGGTGTATGAATTCATAATAAAACTGAGAGATGGTGTATGAGTTCATAATAAAACAACAGACACATTAGGTTATAATAGAAATGTTATTTACAGGGAATTACAGATGTTACTTAAACCTAATGCTGCTTCCACACATATGAATTTGGAAATGACTATTATATAGTGTACACACATAAAAGGAAGTTGACAATGCTGAAAATAGGAAAATTCTGGCAACGCTTTTGGTATAAACCATAGTAAATGACTAATACCAACAAGGAATAGCAATCACTTTGAATAAACTGTCAACATGAACTTGGTTCTATGGGGGACATACAGAACTGTGTGACTTATAAGTCTGGTTTTGGAGCCATTTTTAGACTTCCGCGTTGTTGAGGAACGCTTTGGGGTGTTGTTCAGTCTTATTAGAAAGACTGACTTCAGGTCTTGATAAGTACGTCACAGAGCCTATTTGGTCATCCGCGTTGTTTGAGGAACGCTTTGAAGAGATGATTCTGTTATCATATTGCCAAGAACTGTCAAGGAGAATGACAAGAGATGCTACATATGTTGTACAAGTCAGAACACTTATGGTAGAATTTCAGCTAACAGCAAAAGAATAACAGTAAAGTAAGGCAATATATTCTCATATGAGTGTTTATATAGGTTTATGGGAATTTTTTTTGCACATTTGTTTTTTGTTTAAGGGGAGGAGAGATGTAATGATGCTATAAATAGGGATAACGTCAGGGGATGACTGGCATAATTTGGTAAGTCCCTGATAGCATGGGTTTCACGGAGATATGGTGAAAAGACAAGAGTGAGAGAGTCACGTGTAAATGCGAGATCTGGGGGATTGAGAATGAGATGGTCATTAGGTGACTGGGCCCCACACTGGAAGAGTGTTCGTGTACATGCCAGTGTCCATCGTCTAAAGCATGTCTGGAGACTCAATGCTTGAGCAAGGCGAGATTGCCCGAATGGCGTAAGTTAGTTCATCTGTTGATTCGTGTCTTGTGCTACATTGACAATAAACCTGTGAAATGTGTCAGCTGGTGTCAACCGTCATTTGAAGTTGTGTGGCCGTGGAGAGAAGTGCCGTCTGGTTAAAATGAACTGTGACCTACCATCTAGACAACAGAGTCAGTGTTGAATCTGCAGTAGAAAGATCAAGTGTGGAGGAGACACATTACATTCATTACACATACATACCTAAATACACACACGTACACCCACATACTTATACATCTACAAATGCATACACACATCCACAAACATGCATACATACACACACCCACATACATGCCGACACACATTACATACATACCCACACATACATGCATACACACATATACAATCACCCATACAGATACTCACATACATACATACACTCATGCATACATACATATTTGCCTACATTATGTATACACATACCCACAATCACACATACACTCATATACAGTCACACATACTTACAACATATATACATAAATACACACACATATAAACTTAAATATACATTCATATATCCACATGCATGCACACACACACACACACACACACACACACACCCACAATCAAACACACACCCAGATAATACACACATATATACACACATATAGATACTTTTATACATACATACACATACATAATACATACCAACATACTAACATACATGCATACATTCATAAATACACACACATCCACATACATACACAGCTACATATACCGACAAACATCCATATATATGCATGAGTACACATACACCCATATACTTACACAGCTACATTTACATAGAAACATTCTCATGCATATACAGACATACATAATTCATGCACCTACATACATATATGCACACATACATACATCCACATGTATACATACATACATGGACTACATGTACATGCATACACACATCCATACACACACTCACATACTTAAACATACATACTTTCATACATACACACATCCATACATTCACTCACATACTTACACACATAACTACTTTCATACTTACCTAAATACACACACACACATGCATGCATACATACACACACATACATGCATACATACACCTACATCTTTACACACATACACATATACCTGAATAGACACACATGCATGCATACACACATATACAATCACCCATACAGATACCCACACACATACATCACATGCATACCTGCATCACACATACTTTCCACATACATAAACAAATGTATACCCACAATCACACACATGCCCAGATAATACATACATACACACATACATCGTTACTTTTATACATACACATCCATAATACATACCCACATACTCACACACATACCTACATTTATAAAAAAGACACACACACCACATACCAATACATCTACATATACCTACATAAATCCACATCCATGCATAAATACACACACACATACTTACACGGCTACATTTACATACATTCATTCTCATACGTATACAGACAAACCTGATACATACATGTATACATAAAACAAACATACATCCATACATACATGAACACACATGCATTCATACATGAACACACATGCATACATACATAAACATAAACACAAACATAAAATGCACACACCTACGTACACATATATATATGCACACACACATACACACAAACATGTATTCATGCACACACATACACCCACATACTTACACAGCTACATATGCATACATACATCCACCAATCATGCATACATACACAAATACATGCATACATACACACACATGCATACAGACATATACAATCACACATACAGACACCCATATACATACATTCACACTTGCATACATACATACTTGTAAAAATAATACACACACACCCACAATCACACATACACTCATATACAGTCGCACATACACCCACATATATACGCCCACATACTTACAACATACGTACATACAAACACACACTTACTTACAAACCTAAAAATGCATACATATATCCACATACATACACACACACTAACAATAACACACACACCTACATAATACATATAAGTAGGATAATAATGCATGTAAAGAGAGAGAGAGGAAGAGAGAGAGAAAGAGAGAGAAAAAGAGATAGAGAGAGAGAGAGGAAGAGAGAAAGAGAGGGAGAAAGAGAGAGAGAGAGAGAGAGGAAAGAGAAAAAGAGAGAGAGAGAGAGAGAGAGAGAGAGAGAGAGAGAGAGAAAGAGAGAGAGAGAGGAAGGTCTAAAGGTTACAAACTTACGAAAGAGGTTAGAGATGTTCAAAATGGCCGCCGTCTTCTGCTCGGCAAACATCTAAGCCGTTTCTGAACTCATCCCACACACTGATAAACATCTCTTGCATAACTGAGTTCACTGCAGCTGTGATACGGTTTACCCATCATTTTGAATAACCCTGAATTTCTTGTTTTGTATTAACCTAGATAGATGGACCTCTAACTGAAGCTATGTTGTACTCGCTGATGCAGCTCGACTACAATGGCTCCGAATCAGCGCATCAGATGTCGGACATGCTGGTCAAATGTTACTTTAACAGAGTGAGTATAAGGCAGCTGGGAGGCTATTGGGCAAAACTGCAGTGTTCTAGAATTTCACAATCTTAGGTTAATTGTTATGGTTCATAAGCGCTCGGATCCCATCTTCAGTTTATCCCCCCAGCGTGTGTCGACTGACAACACAGGTTCTATGTTGGTTTAATATTCTTTTTGTCACATTGGAGGGAGGGGGGAGGGGCTAAAGACCTCAACTCTCAGTTTCGGCATCTGTAATTAATTGTGTATATATTTTTTGCTGTGTGCCAACATTTTGCCAGTTAAAATTAGTTCTGCGGTTTCAGTTATTTCTTCTAATTGATAAACTATATTGTAGATCTACGGTGTTAATCACGGCGGCCAAAAACCAATGTGTAATGAATACAAGTATTAATTTGAGTTTAGATATCTAGAAGGTAAGATAACGAACGATGATAGAACTGACATAGAAACAGAAACCAGATATCAGAAAGCAGTGCACTTGTATACCAATTGTCACCATTATTAAGACATTCAAGCATATGAGTGCAACGAGAAATAAGCAGCATATTCATTCCAACATTAAGCTACCGGTGCCAAACATGGACACTATATAAAGCCTATATACGCAAAAATCACTTCCTGCGAGATGAGATGCCTGAGAAAAGCCTAACCATCAGAGATCGAATGAATAATGAAACTGTCAGACAAATTGTGGGAACGGCATCTTGTAGTAGATTCATCGAAAATCAGCAGATTAAGTGGTTTGGCCATCTCGTTAGAATGCAGCAAGATCAAATACTATCACAAGCACTACATTTCAGAAGATCAGCTACAAGAGCAAAAGGACGGCCGCAGAATATAGAACAACATGAGAGACACTTGACGCCTTGACGACATGACAATAGCCAGTGGCAGCCAGCATACACAAGATCGTCAATAATTTCCCCCCACTGCGCTTAACTGCAGAAGTAGTTTATGATGATGATGATGATAATGATGATTAATCTGAAAAAAAATTGTACTGCTTACCCCTAATATGTTGGTATTAAGTAAAAAAAAAAGCACTCTTTTAGTATCATAATCATCATCATCATGTAGCAGATCCTTTGCAGAACGCCGCTCTCATCACGGTCTGCCTGAAAAAAAAAACTTTATCTCTCGCCAGCTCTTCTGCTTTTAATGAGTGTGTCTGTAATGCGGACAGTTGATACATAAGACTGTTGGCTTGTTGGATTATGGACTCGATATATGTGTTCAGTCTGCTATCTTATGTGAAGATGCTTTCAAGATATTCGAATTCACCCACATGTTTTAGTGAATGCTTGTTAATTTGTATGTCGATACCTTGATGTTCCGTGTTTGTGTTTATGTTTTTTTTTTTTTGTTTAATGTTGATCTTCATGTTGTTCTTGAGACAGCAGTTGTAGAGTACATTAATGTGTTCCTGTAGTTGTTCAGTTTTACTGTAAAAAATGCACGGATCGATATTTTCGAGGGTGGTAAGAGCGGGTTTCCGGCTTTCTGATGTTTTTAAACTACCCCAAATCATCTAGAGCTGGGCCTAACCCCAACCCACCTACGTCCCACTAGAGAGTACAGCCTATTTCCACGACTGCATGAAGCCTAGGTCCCACTACTGCAGTTAGCCTATTTACCAACATCTAAAATATTCGACTGTCTGTTCGGGGGAAGATATTGGGATAGAGCCTTCATTTATACTCAACAGGGAATAAAAGCTTTATATAGCTTAGCCAGATTAGGGACTTAGCGATTCTTAATCCAGCACTGACTCTGAGGCAGGCTACATTCGGCCTAGCTTTGTCTGAAACTTCCTATTTAATGTACAGATGAGTGATCTTGTGTGTTCCATGTCGAATTCTGTGATGGCTGATAGCTTGACTGCTACTACTCCGCTGGGCGGTGAACAATTTTATGATAAACTGGACGTGGTGAAGGCTCCCTGATATGATATAAACTGGACATGGTGAAGGCTCCCTGATATGATTTAAACTGGGCCTGGTGAAGGCTCCCTGATATGATATAAACTATACGCGGTTAAGGCTCCCTGATATGATTTGACTGATTCAGGGGAGAGTAGACAAAGAATCGGTATGATTTTCAACCGTCAGGGGACACGATGGGTGAACTTTTTTTTAAAAATATTATGTTGCAGCTGGCATCATCCAAATAGAGACTCTTTGCTGGCCACTTAGGAAGGGGTCCTATCACATGTGGGAATGCACCCAGGGTAGTAATGATAATTTTTAATTCATTCGCTAAGGTATTCATTCATTCTTTCAAGATGCCCTAGGGGGAATTTTTTTTCTGATTTTCACTATTTCATTTAGGTAACTGCGTGGTCTCGGGCATTGTGTTCGCCTCGAGTGCTGGAGTCTCGGGTTCAAGCACCGGGTGAAGGCTGCGACTTTCAGTAATTTCCACTGGTCTCTGGGTAGTGAGATCAGACGCCCGTGTGTATTGTTGCGCACGTAAAAAAAAACACATTAGCAGTTGAAAAAGAGTAGCCCAGGAAAAGAAAATTGGAGTTGAAAATCTACTCGAAAGTATTTTAGGATCCTCGTCGGTGCAGCAGGGTTCATGCACTGTGCTGAGATTGTTCAGACTCAGGCTGGAGTTGGAAGAAGAACGGAGCACTAATGGACTACGACCGTATGTGATGATGTTGATCCGTTGAATGAACAATAAAAACAATATTGGTCTAAAGGCTTTTAGCTTTCTGATACTCTGGGGTTAATTAGTGCAAGAATCTTTTATTATAGTTTCTAAACGTTTGTCTATGGAGTTTCAAGCATATCACTATGAACATGTGAAACAATAGAGCATCATTTCTGTTCTTCTAGCTGATATCTTTACATTGTCTTAATTTATGGCTGCTCTATAAAGTCTGCGAAATGTCAGGGAAAACGCAAAGTCTGTAAACACTAGTTTGTTTTCTTTGTATCTGAGTCAACAGTTGTTGACTATTGAAAATCATCAAGAAATTGTTGACCCTATGTGTACACAACAGTCGTGCATAAAAAAGCAGTCGGTTGGAAAACACCTTCAAGCATCAAAAATCTGTGCATTCAAAATAAATGAAGTACTGCATTTTTTCTAAAGTGAAACAACAGCTAGCTGGAACATATATAATTTTTTATATAAAAACATATATTTCTTTATCAACATCAATATCATATGCGTAGTGTTTGTTGTTTTGGCAGTCACACAAAAAGACATATGTTGTATATATGGCAACATTCATGTCCTTGTGACACAATTAACAACTTAATAACTCACCTGCACTGAATGACTCTACCTTGCAAAATAAATTCATTTGGAACAGTTTTTAGCGTGCAATTCCGGTGTCCTCGCTATTAGTGCAGATATTACACTAGCTGAGATCTATGAAGTAGTGTTTCTCTACACTAAAAAGGTTAAAGAGTGGGTCGCGTTAGCTCAGTTGATAGGAGACTCGCTTTTAAGTCCAGATGCGACTAGCAACAGCCCACGCTCGGTGTTCGAAACCAGAGGAACGTCGCTGTAGCTAGGGAGTTGCGGCGACATAGGCGGACAGTTTCTTATCTTCTGTCCGTACTGGTGGAAGAGCACTTATGGTTTATAACTGTGTGCAGTGACGCTGGTTCACATCTCCCGATTTTACCTTGACCTTTTACTAATTAGGTTAATAATTGCCCTCCCACGACGCTGATTTTCTTCTTCTTCTTCTTCTTCTTCTTCTTCTTCTTCTTCTTCTTCTTCT